CACTTTTCATCATTTATTTGGGTAGGTTCACTCACCTGCATGGATTTCCTCAGTGTGCCTCTTTAGACTTTGTCAGGTGGCCATAGTGTCAATATTTCCACAGTCAGCTATTTCTTCTGTATTTCCATTTGCAGTCCATTTAAGTTTTACTTCCAGCATTATCACTTAGCGTTTCTTTGGTGCTCTTTCATTTTGTTGGCCAATTCTCTCTTATAATTACCCATTTTTCTAAAATTTCTTACAGGATTATCTCAGAAGCACAGACCTTTACAGTTTGTGTGTGAACTGAATAACAAATGCACAGTAACCAATCACTTACAGACTTTGAAAGAAGTCATGTAAATTGGTCACAAGCTATGATGTGCATGTTATTTTTGTAGTGATTTGTGGACTGAAAAGGTAGTATCCAACTTTGTGTTTTATGCTGTTAGTCACGGTTAACATACTGTAGTAAATGACTTTTGAGCCACATTGTTGGGGGTCTGGTATTTAACTAAATCCTGGTACCTGAAATTCTGTTTAGTTTGCAGATTGTACAAAATGAGGACTGCTTGTATATTTAAGTTAAGATAAATCATTTAAAGTAGGGCTTCTTTTTAAAGATTCCCCTCATTAAGTGATGTCTTTGCTTAACTAAACAACTGCATAGTCATATTTTATTTAAAGATGTCTACTCTAATTTGCCCCAAGGTCTTCCTTGTCAATGATTAAAGACAAAAGCATGAGCACTGATTTGCAAAGTTTATAATTCCTAACCCCAGTTTTTTTCACAACATTCTTGAGGTATATTTGACATATAATAAACTGCACATTTAGTTAGAGAAAACAGTTTGATGAGTTTTGACATACATATACACTTTTTAAACCATTACCATCAGGATAACAAATATCCATAAGCCAAAAATTTCATCATAATTCCTTTTCTTTCTTTCCCTGCTTCATCCTGTTCTGCTCCAGGAAACCACTCCTCTGCTTTCTGTCAGCATATATTACTGTGCATATGCCAGAATTTTGTATAAATGAAACTATGTTTTGTCTGACTTTTCATTGAGCATAATTATTTTGAAATTTCTCCTTTTGATTCCTTTTTATTGGTAAGGAATATTCTCTTTTCTGGATATATAACAGTTTATCCATTCACTTTTTTTAATGTTTATTTATTTTTGAGAGAGACAGAGTGCAAGCGGGGGAGGGGCAGAGAGAGAGAGAGAGAGAGAGAGAGAGACAGACAGAATCCGAAGCAGGCTTCAGATTCTGAGGTGTCAGCACAGAGCTGGATGTAGGGGCTGGAACTTGTGAACGGGGAGATCATGACTTATGCTGAAGTCGGATGCCCAACCGACTGAGCCATCCAGGTGCCTCTATCCATTCAGTTCTTGGTGAACATTTAAATGTTTCCAGTTTTTGGCTATTATATATAAAGCTACTGTGAATGTTCATGTACAAATCTTTGTGTGGATACATGTACATATCTTTGTGCTTTTATTTCTCTTGGATCCATGCCTAATTTTTGAATGACTAGAGTATATGCTTCACTTTTTTTTTTAAGTATTTATTTATTTTTATGTTTTTCTTTTTTATTTTTGAGAGAGAGACAGAGACAGAGCATGAGTGGGGAAGGAGCAGAGAGAGAGGGAGATAGAGAATCGGAAGCAGGCTCCAGGCTCTGAGCTACCGGCCCAGAGCCTGACACAGGGCTTGAACTCACGGACAGTGAGATCATGACCTGAGCCAAAGTCAGATGCTTAACCAACTGAGCCACGCAGGTGCCCCTTATTTATTTATTTTTGAGAGAGAGAGAGCAACAGCGCCAGCAAGGGAGGGGCAGAGAGGGAATCCCATCTGGCTCCACCCTATCAGTGCAGAGCCTGACATGGGGCTCAAACCCACGAAACCACAGGATCACTATCTGAGATGAAACCGGGAGTCAGAGGCTCAACCAACTGAGACACCCAGGTGCCCTATGCTTCACTTTTTAAGAAACTGGTAGTTTTGTAAAAACTTACATTCCCACCAGTGGTGGATGAGTGTGCTAGTTGCGCATATTCCTTTCCTTTTTTTGGGGGGTGGGGGGTTATTTAAACATTATTTAATATTCGATTTTAATTAATCTCTTGTGACATCTCTTTATATGATATTTTTGGTGATTGTTCTAGGAATTATAAAATACCCACTTTCATTCTCTCCTTAGAATCTGTAGTTTACTGCTTCATTTGGCGTATAGAAATTTTACCACTTTATGTTGTTGTCTTTACATATTGTGAACCCCATAAGATAATGTTATACGTTTTTTTCAACTGCCAAGCATACTGTAAGGAGAGTTGTTTATTATATTGGCCTAGATATTTATGATTTCTTTTGCCCTCTCTTCAATCCTGATGTCCCAGGTTTCCTTCCTGTATCATTTCCCTTCTGTCTGAGGAACTTTGTTTAGCTCTTCTTTTAGAACATGAACCAAAATTCCTAGCATGAACATGCATGTTCCTAACATGTAGCAAAACTCCATACTCTCAAATATTCATCACAATGCACCTTGTTTACTCCATAGAGTTTAGGCACAGAGAACCATTCCTATCCAGGAATAATGGGAACCCTCCTGAAATCCCAGAAGCAGACAAAAGCCAATCTTGTAGGTAGACCTTTCTAAGGATAGCAGTCTCTGGCCTGCTATATTAACTCTTTTTGCACACCTTGTCTCCATCTACACACACCATATCCTCATTTCCCTGTCGCATTACCCTCCTACTTTCCTTCATTTAACCCCTCTTAGTTCATTAAAACTTCAGTCCTAAAGTCTTTAGTTTGGGCAGAGGTAGGCTTCCATACACTGGCAGGGATTAGATTGGTCTAAAGTGATAATGCAGACCCTAACCAGGTTGAGGAGGTGCTCTTAAGTGTGGGGACTGACCAGCCCAGGCAATGGAGTGTTAGGGGAGGTAGAAATCAAAGCCCAAGCCTGGTGAGCAGCATTCTTTTTGGGGATGGGGATGATATTGGTGACAGGAGATCGGTTACATATAATGATATTGATCAAAGAAATATATTCATGATAATGAGAGCCACATTTCTCACTGTTCAGAGAAAGGAACTCAAGGAAGGGATGATTACCTTTGTTTATGTTTGTATATTATTTTACTGGTTACGAGAAGCACACATTAATGATATAATCTGAAAAATCATCAAATAGAAAAACATTTTAAGAAGAAATGGAAATTTCAATGGAAAATGTGAAAAATTATTTTGTGGTGAAATATTGAATCTCAGAGATAGCAGAACAGCATAATGGTCTGGAGAAAAAGGATCAGAGTTCAGATCCAGTTCAGCCAATTATTAGATGTATGACCTTGGGAAGATTAGTTATGTCTTATTTTTATAATCAGGAAAAGCAGTTAATAATGTAACCTACCACCTAGGTTACCACTTATTACACTTACTATTACCACTAATTACAGAGTCAGTGAACAATAGGCTTTTTTTTTTTTTAATTTTTTTTTTTCAACGTTTATTTATTTTTGGGACAGAGAGAGACAGAGCATGAACAGGGGAGGGGCAGAGAGAGGGAGACATAAAATCGGAAACAGGCTCCAGGCTCTGAGCCATCAGCCCAGAGCCTGACGCGGGGCTCAAACTCACGGACCGCGAGATCGTGACCTGGCTGAAGCCGGACGCTTAACCGACTGCGCCACCCAGGCGGCCCAATAGGCTTTTAATATTAGCTGTAACTGTTATTGATCAAGGTCAGACAAACAGTAAGTGTTAGGCTGGATATTTGAACCTAAGGCTAAAGTTGTTCCAGAAGACAAAGCCACATGTATATCTTTATTTTTTTCTATTTATTTTTTAAATTTTATTTAAATTCAAGTTAACATATCCATGTATATCTTTAAATCAAACATTTGATATTGCTAAAATGGTTACCAAAATGTTTACAATTACTAATACTGCTACTGTGAGTGCATAAAAGTATCAGTTTGTATCTTTTCTAGCAGTATGCATTGTTATTTTTTTTTAATAAAACTACCAATTAGGCTAAAAATTTTCATGTAAGTTAGCATCATGTTGATCAATAATGAATTTAGAAATCATTCTGGTTAAATTAATGTAAATGTTCTTTAACATCCAACAGATTAAGACAAATTCTAATATTTAACCTTCACTGGGCTCTTACTATGTGCTAGTCATTGTGATGAGCACTTTCCGTGTATTAACTCATTTAATGTTAATATCCTCTCCAGAATAAGGATAGCTTACATTTAGGTAATATCAGAAATTTCATTCATCTTAATTTGTAAGAGTACTTATTAACTATTTTGACTTATAGGTATTTAATTGTGTTTTTAAAAATGTGCTTAATTGTTGAATTAAACATCCTCATCATGTATTTCTGCCTAAGGCATAAGAAACACCAAGGATTTTTTTGTTAAATACTGTAATTTAAGCTTTTGTCCACTAGGTGTCCTCAGTTAAGTTTAAGATACCAGAATTTAACTTTTTCTTCATGAACATTTCAGTCTGTAAATATCTTAATGAAGTACACCCATTATTTTTTTAAGCTTCTTTTTAAGTTTATTTACTTATTTTGAGAGAGAGAGAGGAGAGAATCCCAAGCATACTCTACAGTGACAGCACAGAGCCCAGTGTGGAGCTTGAACCCACAAACCAGAAGATCATAACCTGTGGCATACCAGGAGTTGAATGCTCAACCAACTAAGCCACCCAGGTGCCTCAAAGTACACCCTTTAAATGAAGTTTAAAATAATGCTTCAGGAGAAATTCCATATATGTAAGTGTTAGTACTGTTGATATTTTTTAAATTCATGTAAGGTCTTTAAAAATCTGTAAATATCTTTGAATGTGTGGTAGAATATTTAAACATTACTTGCAATTTTTGCAATATGTGTAATTTTGGTGAAATAAGGACGTTTTTAATGTTTAAATTACTTTTTTATTGTTCTGTCTTTCTTCCCCCCTCCCCTTTCCATTTTTATATTTTATTCAAGGGTTTTGGGACTGGAGTTAAACAAAGACAGAGATATTGAAAGGATCCATGGCAGTGGAGTTAATACCCTTGACATTGAACCTGTTGAAGCAAGATAGTAAGTTTATTACACTTATACATTTTTTGTCAAAGTGAAATGCAGTCAAATCTTGCTTTCTAATTACTTATGTTAATGGTTCCATAAAAATTAGTAAAATTTCTAAATTGTAGCATTTAAATCTGACATTACTGATTTAAATAAACACAAAACATTACACTCTTAAAATGTTGCCAGGTAAACATTTCCAAACTACTTTATTTTATTTTATGTTTATTTATTTTGAGAGAGAGAGAGAGAGAGAGAGAGAGTGCCGTGCATGTGCCAGCAGGGGAAAGGCAGAGAGAGAGAGAGGGAGAGCGAGAGTACCAGACAGGTTCTGTGCTGTCAGTGCAGAGACAGATGCGGGGCTCAGTGTCACAAATTGTGAGAGTGTTCATTGTGAAGTCAACAGACATTGAAACTTTTTGATTGCAGAGGGCTTTTAAGTGCTGGATTGTGTGTCTTAAGTGCCATTTTAAAATAGAGTTGCTAAACCATGAGAGAGTCTTAAATATAGAGAACAAACTAATGGTTGCAGGGGAGGTGAAAGGGCATGGCCTAAAAGGGTGATGGGCATTAAAGAGGGCACTTGTTGGGACGAGCACTGGTAAGTCTGACTGATAAGTCACGAGTCACTAAATTCTACTCCCAAAACCAATAGTATACTATATGTTGACCAACTTGAATTTAAATAAAAAAAAAATAAAAGGGGGCCCTGGGTGGCTCAGTTGGTTAAAGGTCAGACTCCGGCTTAGGTCACGATACTCTGGTTCAGGTCATGATTTCAGTTTGTGAATCTGAGCCCAGCATTTGTCTCGCATGATGTCTCTGCCAACAGCCCAGAGCCTGCTTCAGATCCTGTTTCCTCCTCTCTCTGCAGAGAGAGGAGGGAAAGGGAAAAGAAAAGTAAAGAAAATACAAATATGAAGAAAAAACAGAGTTGCTACTCTAAAGGAGTCTAATGGGAAAACAAATATAAAAAGTGAAAGTATATGTTGGAGAATTAAGCTTGAAAAATCCAGACCTGTATTTGAGCTCCTCCTGTCTTTACCACTTGGCAGCTGAGTGACCTTGAGCAACATACCTAACCCTTTTAGTTCTCAGTTGCCTTAGCTATGCAATGCCAAAAATAATAACTACGTTACAAATTTGTTGTCATTTAAATGAGATTATATGTGTAACATGCTTAGCATAGGACCTGGCATATCATTAGAGGTTGCCCCCACTCCTATTAATCAAAAGCTTATCACCTATGCTTTTACTCCTTTCAGTCCATTCTCCACACAGCAGCTGATGCTTTAAAAAATGCAGATATCAACATGCCATCCACCCACTTAAAACTCCTCTTGATCCCACATTGTTTTACAAGAAAGTTCAAAAAGCTTCATGTGGTCTGTAATCAGAACAACTGTAAAGTAACTAAGGTTTGTTGTGTCATGTTACATATAACATCACCCCAGAATTTTTATATTATAATGAAGTGTTATTACTATTTACATTGAAATCAACCAGATAGGTTCGATAGAATTGTTTTTTATTTTCAGCTACTTGTTATAGTCCCACCTAGTAGTATATGAGAAACACGTACAGTGAACACATTCTCACTTTAACGCATGGTTAAATCTAAAAGGTGATCTGTGACAATTATTTCCTTTGTTCTGAACTTTTCCACATGCAACATAGTACCTCCCATTCAAGGTCCACTGTGGGCTATTTGCTTATAAAATAATGACATGAACAGTAAGTGATAGCTAATTTTTTTTTTTTTTTTTTTTTTTTTTTTTTTTTTTTTTTTTTGGTCATGGGTGCTGGTGGAAAAGATACTAAGTACTGCTTCTCCAGCCAGCCATTTGGAATAGAGATCACTTGTCTGACCTGTGAAGTACATGAAGCTAGTAGGCTACCAGTTGACAGAGTCAATGAGAAATATGGGAAATTACAGATTATATGTGTGTAAAATATGTGGAAAATACAGGCTGAGGAGTCTTTTTACAGAGCATATTGAGAAAAGTCAAGATTTTCAATACAGTTTTTTCCCCAGTGAATGGTAAAAATCTGTAACTATTTCAGATGTTTGCTAAGACTTGTTTTTTGCATTAAACCCTTTTGACAGCAAAGAGTAATAAAAAGATATGTTTAATGGAAAATTAAATATTGATGTCTTTCTCAAGAAAACCAGTGCACATGTAATTTGTTCAAAATGCTTTTTAATATTTTCCAACCACCATGAGAGTTGTGATATCACTGAAACCAGAGTCGAAACCAGAATATACACATCTGATAAAGAAGGATTTATTTCCAAAGTTAGGAGTTATTTTAAGAAGTCTACCAGAAAATAATGTTTTAACAAGTACAGTTGCATAAAGTACATTTGCACACCATTCTGTGAAGCTCAAATTTTCTTTGATATCTTCTAAATTCTTCTAAGTTAATTTTATTAATTTTGTAGTTGTTAAAAGTTATAAATATTTTCCTATATACACACTTAGTTAACTACAAAAGTTTTATAGTGAACACATTAGCATGGCATTACTTGCTGTCTTTCTTTACTACCCATCATTGACCAGATTTTTAGAACTGTCTCAGCAAAGAACTTTGAAGAACTACTTTTAAATTAACCTTATTGTTCTACAAATTGGTATTTAATTTTTCTTAAAACAAGTCTATAAATCAATGCTTCTTGAACATGCTCCTGGCTCGTGAACCCTTTATAATTGGTGTACAAGATAAGGAGCTTGTACCAGAATGTAAATTTAGTATATCACTAAGCACACAATTTAGATGAGCTGAGATATTTTTGGTAGCAAGATTTTCTCAGTGAGGAAAGAATTGTGTTCATTTCTTGCACAAGATCCTTATCTTGCATGTTAAATAACAAACTGAAGAGGGCAACATAAAAAATGAATGTATAATACTTCTAACAAGTATAATTGATCACATATCCCCCCAAACCACAAAATATGGATGAGTGGGAACAAATCACTGATAACTACTAGGTCTGTGTCGTATCATTGTATGTCAAAAGAGGCAATGAAAGCCAGTCTAATAGACCTGATAACTCCAAAATAAGAGTTATTGAAAGTTTAGCAAGCTAATTTCACCACAGTGGATGACACTGGAGAGGATGACATACTCCCAATTATTAAGGGGTTCACTGTAAGACTGGAGGGGGCTGGACCAGTCTGGGCCCTGTAATCTCTCCACCTAATCAACTTAAGATTTCCTAAAAGACAAAACTGAGGAGAAACTGTTTGGAATAGAATCCAAATTGAGCATTAGAGGGACCACAGAAACAAAAAAAGATGGCTCAGGTAAAAATTGGGGAGGTGAATAGAGCCAAGAGTTCTCTGAAAATGAGCTACCATGTTTTGAACCATCTTATAAAAAAAGAGGAGGATATCCTAGAGATACAAAATGTAAATATTATTCTAAACCAAGCCTCTCTTTTGAAAGTTGAAGAAAATTTAGTATAAACATGAGCAAAATAATAGGATTAAAATCAAACTCCATTCAAAATTAGTGTAAGAGCAAAGGGACTAAGTAATACCCTTATAGTAGTTGTGCCAGAAAAATATACCCACAAAATAGGTGAAAACCCTAACCTAATATTTCAAAACTAGCTAAAAGTCATTTTAAAAAGATACAACATGTGAAAGAATAACAAGTTGGAATTAGGAAAACTTGTAAATGAGATGAACAAACTCAAGAAAAAATGATAAATAAAAGAAAAATGTTTCAGAAATGAAAACTAAAGCATAAGGTACATAAGCAAATGAATACAAGAAGTAGTACCCTAGAAATAGAAAGTGGAAAGGGGGAAATTTCTAAAAATCAAAAAGAAATGGAGAAAGACAAAGGATTCAAGAGATACGGACATACTTGGAAGATAGGCAAAGAATAGCCAGCATCCCATATAATAGGAATTCCCAGAGATGAAACGCAAAGGAGGAGAATAGAGTCAATATTAAATCTATAGTCCAAGAAGACTTTCCTAAAATAAGTCAGATCTGAAACTACATATAAAGGAAAGAAAATCATGTTTTAACTAAAACTGATTTGGGGCTTTATACCAAAGAAATGAAGTTTCTTGTCTGAGATCTTCAAGGAAATAGTGTGAATCAGGGATTGGATATCCAGCCAGACTGATTTTCAAGTACAAAAGAAGAGACAAATTGTCAGTAACATACAAGAATTCAGGGACTATTGCACTCACTAGCCCTTTCCTAGGAATTTACCAGAGAGTAAAATTACAGAACCAGAACGAGTAGAGAGACAGAAACATGAGGTTTGACTATGAGTAATAAGAGTAACAAGTGGCAATACTTTATTTGTCCATAGATCTGTCTTTTGTGGTAATTTGTAGACCCTGGAAAAACAGAAACTATGCCTGCCTTGTTTGCAGTTATGCTAGCAGGTGCTCAAAGTTGAATGAAGTGAGTAAATGTGTTTTTAATAATAGAGGGAAGGAATCTAACATTTATTGATCCTTTATCTCTTTGAGGCCATGTAAACCTCACTTGTGTTTAACTTACACGACTTCTTTATGATTTGGGTGAAAATGCACCCTTTTTCACAAATGTTAAAAGGCTTAGTAACTTGCTTAGAGTCAGATCGTTCCTTGTTAACAGCTAGTCTGTCTGGTTCCATTTTCTTTTAGCACAATTTTAATTAGGACATTAAGAATGACTTCGTAATAATTAAGATAAATCTTTTGCCATCTTGTTTCTACTGTCCATTCTTTTTGGAATTATAAAGATAAACTTTAAATGATCACAGATTGAATCTTTCTGTATTCATTGTATAAATACTAGAATGAGAAATTTTAGTTTATTAAAGTCTATGTTAATGACAATTTACTCTGTATTTGTGGGCATAATACCTTTGGGTGTTTATAGATCACTAATTTTCAAAAACATGTAATAAGTAAATGCGGTACCTAAGATGATAAATTAATGTGCACTTTTTTATTATTAGCATGTTATCAGGTGGTTCAGATGGTGTGATTGTACTTTATGACCTTGAGAACTCCAGCAGACAACCTTATTACACATGTAAAGCAGTGTGTTCCGTTGGCAGGTGTGTATTAAAAATGTAATTCATGAATGTATAAACAATTTAGTACTTTTGCATCAAATACAAACCATAACAGTAGCAGTCATATGATGGTCTCCAGCAGGTTGTTCACATGACATTTTTTACATGGATATCCCTTGACATTTTTTTTTGAAAATAACAACTGAAATTCAGGCATAGCTGTTTTTAACATGAGACTTCCTCAAAACAACTTTGGTATCAGTTTTCAAAAGGAATTTATATAAAAACTTCTGATTATGTCATTTTTGTTATACACCTACATAGCACACCTCAGGTAACTCATTATAGTTGTAGTACCATTTAGCATAAGACTTTTTATAAGTCTTTCAGCTAATTATAAACACGAATTACATTTTTTCAACTGATATTAATAGGGTAGAAAGTTTAAAAGATTAATGGATAGAAGCAGTAAATGTACTGGTAGTCCCTCACCAAACACAAACCTATGCACACCTGCACGCAAGTGTCTTATCTCCATACTTAAAGCTGCCAAACTTAACATACCTCTCTTTGTCATTAGTCTTCTGACAATTGTAATTTGTTTGTAATGGCCGCTTAATTCTTTTTTGTCACCTATATCTGATCCAATATTGAGCACAGCTTTGAATTAACAGAGAGAATGGGTGTTGGGGAAATGCTTTCAAAAGGAAAAACTTCATGAACATTAATGTCAACAACCATTCTGTATTAATGCTGTTCCCAAAGCACTTGAGTAGATACATAAGTCCATGCGATATTTGGGAGGAGATTTACAATTGTTTCTTGGCTCTGGTGCTTCACTTTGAAAATAAAGATTTGGGAAACTATTTCTCTGAACTTCAGGTTATTTATTGTTTTTTAAAGATAATTATACCTGTCCTCTCATTCTTGTAAGTTTTTTGTGGGACTGAAACGAAATACTGTCTTTTAAAAAGCATGTTAAAAACCGTAAAGCAATATAGTTACAGGGTCGCTTGGTACAGAACAAAGATAACACCTCATATAGTGTGAAACTTGGTTTCTAAGAGGCCATTTACACCATTTTATGCTCTCACTCCACTCTCACCAAAAAACAAAAAACCAAAACACTTATATTTTAAAATGTAAGACAGTCATATTAATTCATTTTCTCTTCTTTTATCTTAGCTAACATTTTAACTTTATTTATTTTGTTATATATTAAAATGGTATTTTCCTGTATACCACATGTATTTACTGTTATCCTGAGGAACTGTGATCTACTTTCTGGTATATAAAGTCAAGTAAATGCTTTGTGTGTCAGTCTTCTGTTTTACCATGACATTCTTCTTGGATTCATTCTCTGTCCTTAAAAGCATAACTTTGAATGTAAATGGGCATACAGTGAGCATGTTTGCAAAATGAGTTAAAATAGCATTTTATATTCAAACACTTTATAATCTAACTGTACAAAATAATTTTACTAAAAAATTTTATGAAGTTAATGTGGCTCAGATTGCTGATATTTATTTTTGTGTTACTTAATGTGTGTATTCATTAAATGTGAATGAGAATAACAGGTCATTCACAGTAAGATAATTTAATATTCTGACCTATTTTAAAATTAAATTTAAAATGTAAATGAGCTTTTATTTGTAATCGCTGCATTAAAGATTTGTTTTACTATAACCAGAAAATCTTGGCATACATCAAAATTCTTAGGAGCAAATAGAAGTCAATTCTGCTTATTTTAAGGAGAAATTTATTGGAAAGATACTTAGTATCTCATGTAACTGGTAGGAAGGTGGGAGAATCAGTGTGAAAAATGAGCAGAAGGTAAGTGAAACTATGGCAGAGACAACAGTCAGGATCATACCACAGGAACAATTTAGTTTGGATTCTGCTACATGTCACCAACGCAGACTCTTAACTCCACAACTATGAATAATTGTTAAATATCCCTGGGTTTTGCATTACTAGCTGGAATTTTAGAGTTCTAGGCAGGCTTGCGAAAGCTTAGAACACATGTCGATGCCATTACTGCCAAATGAAAGGGAAAGAGAATATCTGGAGGCCCTAGCTTTCTGTAAAGGCAGTAAAACAAAGGAGATGTCCCCCAGATAGGAAGAGTTTGGATCCAACTTTTAAAAAATTTCCACCTATCCACTAAGCAGCCAAAAAGGCAAGTATCTACTACACAACCAAAATATAATCATCCCTTTCCCGAAAGATCCTCAGTCTACTTACCACATCCAGCTTCAGTTCAAGATAATGTCCATTTTTCCACTAGTTTTACATATGATCTTTTATATGTATGATCAGTTTTTACATATGATCAGTTTATAGTTAACTTATATGAAATAATGGAGGTAAGAGAGAGGAAAGAAAAGGAAAATCAGTTAAAATATATAAATTATACGTGACATAGAATGGAATTATGGGTAGACACTACAGCCATTGTATTTTTGCGGCTTTCTCAACGCCAGAACTAATACTTAAAGGCTTTCCTTCTTCATGTTCTCATTCATTCAGGTGCTTAAGGTCCTTTACTGTTTATTGTAATCCAAACCTTCATCGTAAGGAATCGAAAGTCATGATGTCCTATCTGCATAGGATTGCAGTAGTCTTCTGTTAACTTTTGTTTGTTAATTTTGTTATGGAAGATTTCTAGCATATACAAAAGAAGAGAATAGTGTATGAACTAGGTACCCATCACCTAGCTTCAGCAGTTATCAATCATAATGAATCTGGTTTCATCTCTAACGCCACCTACCCACTGAGTATTGTTTGAAACAAATCCCGGAAGCATATTATTTCATTCATTATTTTATTTATTTATTTATTTTTTTTGAGAGCAAGAGAGACAAAGCACGATCAAGGGAGGGCAAAGAGAGAGAGACGCAGAATCCGAAGTAGGCTCCAGGCTCTGAGCTTGTCTTTACAGAGCCCGATGCGGGGCTCGAACTCACAAACTGCGAGATTATGACCTGAGCTGAAATCAGACTCTCAACCGACTGAGCAACCCAGGCACCCCTCATTCATAATTGTTTATATCTCTAAAAATTAAAGTCTATAAATGTAGCCATGATACTGGTATCTCACACAGTAATTCCAGGTTTTAATACCTACTTGGAGTTCAAATTTCCATCATTGTCTGGTAAGTGTTGCTTCACGGCCAGTTTGTGTGAATTTAGGTTTAGTAAAGTGACACATATACCGTATTGATCACCGGTTCAGAATACATACTGCATCCTTTAGTATATCACCCTCAAAAGATGTTGTATTGTAGCTGATATCATAACCTAAGTCTTCAACAGATCATGCTTCTATGGCTGATAGGTTACAAAAGAATGGTGCCGTGGACATCTACGAATTGCATTATGTCATTGAGTAAGTTACTTGATCAGAATCAATATTGTGTGAGATACTGTGGATCTATGTGAGGCATTCAACAGTTCTAAGAATCATAGTACTGGGGCGCCTGGGTGGCGCAGTCGGTTGAGCGTCCGACTTCAACCAGGTCACGATCTCACGGTCCGTGAGTTCGAGCCCCGCGTCGGGCTCTGGGCTGATGGCTCAGAGCCTGGAGCCTGTTTCCGATTCTGTGTCTCCCTCTCTCTCTGCCCCTCGCCCGTTCATGCTCTGTCTCTCTCTGTCCCAAAAATAAATAAACGTTGAAAAAAAAAAAAATCTAAGAATCATAGTACTAATAAAGCGGTATTTGAGAAAAGCAAATCCAAAACCAGAATAGGTATCTCTTCCAGTAAGGAAAAATCACTGCCCCCTCCAGGAAGAGGTCCAGTGTAGCTAATTCCTCTAGGTTCAAGTACAGAAATAGGAAGTTCTCCATTTTATAAACCTTAGTGGGAAGCAGGCCTCCGCAATACACTAGAGAAGGCTGAAAGTAGAAGTGCCTGGACATTGTCCTTCTTTGGACAGCTGGGATGTAGACCTGTGATATAGGCGTGGCCATTCATATTGTCCTACTTGAGACTGCTACTTGTTAATGTAGTATCAGTTTTGAAACTCACATAAGTCAAGTATTCCTAAAGTTTAATTGCTATTTTGTAGAAACCATCCTGATGTTCACAAATACAGTGTGGAGACTGTACAGTGGTATCCTCATGACACTGGCATGTTCACATCAAGCTCATTTGATAAAACTCTGAAAGTGTGGGATACAAATACCTTACAAGTGAGTATATTAAAACCTTTCTAATTAGCTCAATAGGTTGAAGGAAAATCTGTAAATGGGGGTAGTGATTTTACTTTATAGAATGGTTGTAAATACATTGATATATGTAAGATACCCAGAAGAGTGGTTAGCAAAAAACATGAACTATTATTATCATCTTCATTATTTGAAAACTATTGTTTAGTGATCTAAGGAAGAAAATTGGGTTTATCTTCTATTGACCTAAAACCTTAAAGGAAAAGAAAGTTACTAATATTGCTTAGTAAAGATAGACACTAAATAATGGTAGACAATAAAAAATAGGTTTTTGTGATATTTGATTAAATTTGTATTTCTTGTGCTAATCTTTTCCCTAAGCTCTAGTCCTATGTTTCTCTGTCTACTGAACCTCTCTTACTTGAATGTGGGGTAATCTCCTCAAATATAACATGTTCATACTGAACATGATCACTCCTCACATCCATGTACTCTTCAAATCTTAGCAATTCTTCCTTCAAGCTCTCTCATATTTTCTTTTCTATTTCTCTCAACAACGCTGTACATCTAGACTACTACTCAGAACTCCCAATGCATTACATTGCTTCCCATATTTACCATGGTAAGCTCTACCCCAAAATTAGCCTTATTATAATGTGGTTTCATTATGTCTTTACCCAAACCCACAAGGGATTTCCCTTGGCTAAATTCGGCCTGGTACTCTAAGTTCTCCCTAACCTCAACCCCTACTCCCTTAACCTTAGCTTCTCCCTCTTTATAGCCTAAATTATTTGCTATCTCTAAATTGATCTTTTGTCTTCTGATCACATCTTGATAGTGTTATATTCCCTGCCTCAAATCTCTTTCCCTGAGCAACTTTTTCTTTTCTTAATTGTCTAAAGTTTGTACCTTTTACCCATATCTCCACATTTTGCTCCCCTCCCCACCTTGGTAACCACCACTTGTTTCTATTTCTGTGAGTTCAGCTTTTGTAGATTTCACATATTAGTGATAGCATACAGTAATTGTCATTCTCTAACTTGTTTCATTTAGCATAATTCCCTCTGTGTCTTTCCATGTTGTTTGCCATAAATGGTTAGACTTCCTCCTTTCTTGTGGCTGAATAATATTCCCTTGTATAAAAATACCACATATTCTTTATCCCTCCATACACAGATGGACACTTAGGTTGTTTCCATGACTTGGCTGTAATAAGTATTAAATACATACATACATAAATAAAATAATAGTGCAATGAACATGGGGATGAAGATGTCTCTTCAAGATAGTGATTTTGTTTCCCTCAGGTATATACCTAGAAGTGGAATTGCTGGATCATAGGGTAGTTCTGTTTTTTATTTTTTGAGAAACCTCCATACTGTTTTCCACAGTGGCTGCTCCAATTGACATTCCCACCAGCAGTGCATAAGGGTTCTCTTTTCTCCACATCCTCACTAGCCTTTGTTATCTCTTATCTTTTTGATATTAGCCATTCTAACAAGTTTGAGGTGATAGCTTACTGTGGTTTTGATTTGCATTTCCCTGATGATTAATTATATTGAGCACTTTTTCATGTACCTGTTGGCTATTTGTATGTCTTCTGTGGAAAAATGCCTATTCACTTCCTCCGCCCATTTTTAAATCAGATACATGATTTGCAAATCTTTTCTCATTCAGAAGGTTGCCTTTTTGTCCTGTTGATGGTTTCCTTTGCTGCACAGAAGATTTTTTGTTTGACGTGTAGTTACACCTGCTTATTTTTGCTTTTGTCACCTTTGGTTTTGGAGTCAAATCCAAAAGATCATCTCCCAAAGATTAATGTCAAGGAGCTTACTGCCTTTGTTTTCCTGTAGGAGTTTTATGGTTTCAGGTCTTATATTCAAGTCTTTAATCTATTTTGAGTTTATTTTTGTGTATGGTATAAGAAAGTGGTCCAGTTTTATTCTTGGGCCTGTTACTGTCTAGTTTTCTCAGTACCATTTCCTGAAGAGATTATCATTTCTGCATTTTAGGTTCTTGGCTCCGTGTTATAAATTAATTGACCATATATGCATGGGTTTATTTCTGGGCTATCTATTCTGTTCTCTTGATCAATGTGTCTGTTTTTATGCCAATACTATACTGTTTTGATTACTGAAGCTTTGTAAAATAGTTTGAAATCAGGAAGTATGATACCTATAGCTTTTTTTCTTCTTTTTCAAGATTGCTTTAGCTATTTGGGGTTTTATGGTTCCATACAAATTTTAGCATTTTTTTTCTATTTCTGTAAAAATGCTCTTGGAATTTTGATAGCACCTCTACTTAATCTGCAGATTACTTTGGGTAGTATAGACGTTTTAACAATGTTATTTCTTCCAACCCGTGAGCATGGAATATCCTTTCATTTATTTGTGTCTTCAGTTTCTTTCATCAATATCTTATAGTTTATAGTATATGTATCTTTTGGTTAAATTTATCTCTAGGTATTCTATTCTTTTTGATGCAGATGTAAATGGAATTATTTTAATCTCTTTTTCTGATAGTTCATTACTGCTGTATAGAAACATGACAGGTTTTTGTATATTGATTATATATCCTGAAACTTTACTGAATTTGCTTATTAGTTCAAAAATTTCTTAATGGACTCTTTGGGATTTTCTATACATATTATCATGTCATCTACAAATAGAGACAGTTTAAAACTTCCTTTCTAATTTCTGTGTTTTTTTCTTTTTTTAAAAATTTTTTTGGGGCGCCTGGGTGGCGCAGTCGGTTAAGCGTCCGACTTCAGCCAGGTCACGATTTCGCGGTCCGTGAGTTCGAGCCCCGCGTCAGGCTCTGGGCTGATGGCTCGGAGCCTGGAGCC